CTGCTGTTGACTCTAGCAGTCCTGTCTGAATCTGGTCCAGCGTAGGTCACCAAGAGTCAGTGCTAGAAGAAGCACCTCTTAGCTGTTACCAGTTGCATCATCACATCACTTCCTGGCATAGTGTCTTATCACTGATCATCTGGGGACAGAGGTTTTTAGTCATTTGCCAGATGGAGCTGGTAGTAGGGCAAGTTCTTTCTGGAATACCTGAAGGAGAGAAAAGCTGTATGTGGCCTTCTTTCTCATTTTTGTTTTTACTGAAAAGTAAAGCAATCGGTGCTAGCTTTGCAAGATCCTCAGGGTTATCCACAAACCCCAAGTAAGTAAATGCCTAAACTAAAACAAAACCCAGTAACAAACGCATTGTTTTCTCTTGCTCCTACCACAATACATCCCCCTAAGACCCTAAACCCAATACTGAATGTATTTAATTGTGATCGTGCTGAAGACAAGATGACCAGAGCCAGAAAATATCTTGGACTTGAAGGTGAGGGAGGCTCCTTGATACCAGACTTCCTGCAGACTTTGCTGTTTTCTGTCTGCTTTCTTAGCTGGTTGCTCTGTGTGTGGGGCTTGGAGGTCCAGCTGGAGGGGGTGAGGGATGCATGATCAATCTCCTTAAAGAGGAGCAGCTCTGCATTGAAATTGTGTACGGTTAGTAACTTTGAGCAGGACGTTCCATTGCAGGAGTTAACATCTCCTGTGGTTTTACTTGTTAGGTCTAAGCAAAGAAGTGGTTCGTGTGAAGTCGCCTCCACTTCTGCTGTTGCAATGGATGTCCCTGTAGAAACTAGAGAGAGCAAGTAATAAGAGGGGTTGGAGGGCCCAGCCGCAGCCCCCTGCTTCCTGGCCAGCTCTGCTGTTGCTCTGCCTTTCGTCGAGTGCTGCGGGGCCAGGTTGGACTAAGCAGAGTCCAGTGGGGCGTTTTCCGAGAAGGAGGCGAGGGGTGGGCTGTTGAGCGCTGCCTGCTGCCTCCTAGCATGCTGGTCAGCATGGACTCCCTCCCCTTCCCTGCGCCTGGGGGTTTCTTCAGCCACCATCTACCCCTG